ATTACATTCTACCAGAAAAAGCTGAGTAACAGCCAGTGCTGGCCAGGGTCTATGAAACCAGTATAATAATACATTGCTGATGGTGTAGAAAGGGTTTTCCTTTTGAAAAACAATCTTTCATAAAAATGATATACTCTTTGAATCATCCTACCTCTGGAAATACACCCTTAAAAATAATTCAAAAGAAGAAAACAGTGAGGTGGTGAGGCTCATTTCTGTATTAATTGTAATAGAAAAGCAAATGCTCAAAAATAGGGGAGTGACTAAATCAATGACATATTGGTGGTGGAATAGTATGCAGTCATTAAAAACACAGTAGACGTTCTCTTTAAAAATCCCCATTTAATCAATCACCTCTCCAGATTATTCAAACTTTCATTCGAAACCTTGAGAAATAAACCCCTGGATGCTTTGTCCCTCTGTGTCAGTTTTCTCTACTGCCCTGTTCACATCTTGTCTAACAATGGAATGGTATGCTTACCAGCAGTCATTGGGTTTGTTCCCAAATGTGTTTATATTTTTCGTATTTATCATTGCAACAGCATGATTCAATTACATATTATATGAACCAATGAAATATGAGTATTTAAAAAATGAGTGTTGTTGTTTCTACGAAAATTAATTTAAAAGCTTTAGAAACTTTTTAAAGTTAGTCACACAGATAGCAGTCAAATCACACGTGAGCAAAATAACTGCAAAATCATACAATTTTAGGCTACTACATTTAGACTTCTTCATGAGCATCTTCAAGTTCTCAATGGATTTAAAAATAAAAGCCAGGACTAGAAATCGGACTTTGTAAAGAGCATCTTATGGGTGACATTTACACAGGAATACAATGAAACAGGCATTCAGTGACCCACTTCAAAGACAAAGTGTTGGTCTTCCATCGAAGTACAGGCAGATGAACATATATTTTTAATAATATTAAAATAATTAATGCATGTATGTAATATTTTAATTCTTCTCTTCAATCAAGTTTTCAATTAAATGACTAACTAAACCCTGACTGTTGAATAAAGACATTCTATCATACTTTAAAAACAAGCCCACTATATCAGGGACCCAGAGAGTCTAAATTTGCCACTGTATGCAAAATTACTGTCCTGGTGCGAAGACAGGCCCATGTTAGGTCTCAGACAGACAAGGACTGAATCAGTAAACTATAACAAACATGAAAAAAAATGCTCCGAACAAAACACAAAGTAAGAAAAGCAGAATAAAAAAATGTACAAAGTAAACCAGGACATGTACTGTGTTTTTAAGGCAGAGGCAGATGGACAAAGCAGAAGCAAATGCTCAACATTGCAAAATAGTTGGTAAGATAAAATGAATAATTGGCAATTTTATACTTTTTAAAAAATATTTTCCTTAATATTGGCATCTTCTTTTACAGATTCAAAAAGATATTAACTGAGAAAAGGAGAAGGCTGTTTTTGTTTTTATTGGACTTCCAAAATAAGAAGTGAATCAACATTTCCATCTCCCCATTCTCCAGCAGTTAGCCGCCTTCAGCACACCCTCAACTTAATCCACCTCACCACCTCAAGCAATCCAATCTTCCTCCTCCAAAAACCGAACCTGTATTAACACTTAGTTTGTGTTTCCAACCCACCAGGATGCTATTTTTAAAATCTGGAGTTTTCCACCCTCCCGTTTACCATCTATTTGGTTAAAAAAAAAAAAAATTCTCAAAACTGCAATTTACATTCCCAAGAGATTCCCAAACACCATCTAATTAAATCATTCAATCAGAAAACAAATTAAAATGAAATATCACTGCAGCCCCCAAGAGGAAAATAAACTTTTCAGTCATAACTAGAATAAACCTCTACAGTGATGCTCCAAAGCCTCTTCTAATTGCAAGTCCTATGGAACATCCCGAAGAACATTTTGTGACATTTGCAGCTTCCGGAACGACTCTGCTTCCAAAGCAAAGAGCTTGAGTGAGACTCCTAAGCAAAACATATCCATTTGAGAATGGAAACGCTCTCATTAATGACTTCACCAGTTCACTGGGCATCCACACTGTGTGCTCATTCATTTACCAGCTTCTCCAGCCAACACCCACTCGGGTTAGAAGTGTCCTGGGTGTTCCACAAACACTGACCTATAGAAGAACCTCCACGAGGAGGTTCTTGACGACCCCTATGACTTCTATGACTCCTCATCCTTCAGTCATCCCCTGAGGTTTCTCACTCTGACACCTACTCCCTCCATCATCAAATCACTCCAGGGGAACACTGCTGCCCCTGGGACTCGCTGGTCCTCTTAGGAGAAAGTACAATAAGTGGTTAAGAACACAGCCTCTAAAGCTGTGTTAGCTGCGTCTACACCTCTACATGACCACGGTCCAGTGGTGTGACCTAAATAAGTCATATAACCTCTTCATCTGTAAAATGGAGCTCATGACTACTTCATAGGTTATAAGGATTAAACAAGTCAATATACATAAAGAATTATGTCCAGCACTTAAAGGGTGCTATATAATTGTTAGCTATTATGATTATTATCCTTTATTCCCCTTTAGCTCAGAAGAGTAACTGCTCAAAAGGATCTACTGAGTAGTGGGTCCTTGACAGTGGAATGCATAGAAACAGCCCATATCATCAGGAATGAAGAGTCTGAACCTGTTCTTTCCCATCTTCTGCCTTCAAAGAGCTGTACTTGGCTAGTCCCAAACTTTGTAGGTCCCTTACCTGAATGAGTTAAACCCCTATATCTGCCTTCGATTCCCTAAATCCTGGCTTGGGACTCTGTCCCCAATGGGAGAGCTGTCACTAGTCATCACTACATGATCATGGCACACCCAACCAAGTGAATTCTGTCCTCCAGCTGCCTTAGGTCTAGCTTTCCCCAAGTCACTGAGTCTTTCCTGCCCTCTCCTCCCCCACAGTGGGTTGTAGCTTCAGTCTCTCTGTCCTGAGAATCTGGTCATTTCTCAATATCCACAGAAGCAGAATATAGTCATCACACATATCCAGGAAAACTGGATCAAGGTGTGTTTTAGGGTCCAGCTCCTACCCCTCCTCCCATCTATCCCGATCTTTTCAGGTATATATTTGAATGTCTCAAATAATGCAGTATGGTTTCCTGGGAACAAAATCACAAGCATTCCTTTCAACTTCAACATTGCTTTTGTTTTCATGTGGAGTCTTATAAATCACACACATGGTCCACGCTGAACATGACAGGGGCCCACTCTTTCATAAGCTCATAGATTAAAAATGTCTCCTCTTGCTTCCCCCAAGTAGTACCTCATCCACCTTTTCCCTGACCAGATCAGAAATAACAACAGAATCATTTTTCAGGAATGCACATACACACAGAATGTGTAAATGAAGATCTCTCAAAAACTGGAGATGTCAAAGCCAGGCATGGCCTTGTGTCTCCCTAGGGATATTCAGAGTCCCCCTTGGGCAAAGAGTGTACTTGTGTTGCCGACTGTCAGTCTAGATCCACGGGATGAAAAAGGACAAGTAAGAAATAGCAGCAACAGGCACCATCAGACTGATGAACTGGTCTGCCAAATCCAGTGCCAGAATGAGAGACAGACAGATATGAAGGACACGTTGTCAGTGGTCTCCTTTTCTGGAAAAGTGTCAGATTCCTGGGCTTATTTTGAAGTGATTCGTATAGAAGCATTAGTACAGAAGTGTACACCTCTCCTGCACTCACCTGAACCTCATCTGGAAGGAACTCTTCTGGACAGGGCAAATGCACCAGATGTGGACAGAGTAGCTGTCTCTACCCACCCTGGTAGGGGCAGCAGATGCCAGGGCTAGACCCAGACACTCATGTGTAAACAGGAAAGTGCTCCTGGGAAAGAGTCTTTCAACCCAATATTTGCCAGGGTCTGCCAGGTGCGAGACCCAGAACCTGGTGGGGCTGCCAGGTTTACAGTTGAGCTAGGCTCTGCCAGCCCTGCCCTTAAGAAGCTGCTAGAAAGCAAGGGGGTAGACAAGAAAAGACAAATGTGAAAGGGAGAGACATGAATGTGTGTGTACACCCAGCACCAGTGCCCCAAGGGGCCTAGAGTTCTCCATTCCCTGCCTCTGACAGCTCATTGACAGACTAGCTCAGGCCATGTGCCCAGCACCCCCATCTTTCCCTTGCACAATCGTTGCCTGGAGTACAATCCCTGGGTACAGCGTTAGACTCCAGACACACCCCAGGCAGGTCAGTTGGCTCCACCTCAGAAGCTCCCCTGGCCTGGGAGTGGCCTTTACCCAGCTGTGAACTGCCCCAGGGAAAGGCACAGCCCAGGGCGGTTTCTCTCCGTCCTGCGCCCAAATACCACAGCAGTGGACAGAGCTCAGGGCTCAGGCGCTTCTTCCCTGCGTCCACACCTGCTCCTGGAGAGGGGTCTTGAACCTGAGGCTGTGGTGGGAGTGTACATAGCCAAGGCTCAAGAAGCACCCCCTGCCCCAGATACCCCTGATTTTCCAACTGCCTATGGACCCCACACAGCAGGGTTGGGGTTCTGCAATCTTTTGCGAGAGCCAGCTCGTCCCGCAGCCTTTGGGTCCTAAATGCCAAAGGCTGGGGGCCGCGCAGGGGCATCCTCTCCCCGGGCCCTTCCAGTAGCCAAGACCTCGACTGCCCGCGTGTGCTCTTCTCGTACACACACAAACACACATACACACTCTCCGTGCTGGACCTGTGTGCGACCCCGAGAGCCCGCAAGCAAGCAGCCCCGAGTCACACGCATATTTGGACACGTGCGCAGCGCGCCCCCACACCGCCAGTCAGCTGCACACACCCGCGCGTGGAGCCCCGCGCACACACGTGTGCCCTGGAGAAGCGCGAATGGCCTCGGAGACTGAAGGTCCTGCTCTCAGACAGGAGGGGCCGGGCGGCCCAACGAGCGTCTGTGGCCTCAGAACCAGGCGTCGGCCGACAGATGCGCACCAGCCCCAGCGCACCAGCCCGGGCGCACCAGCCCCGCGCCGGGCACTCCCGGGCCTCGTGGGCGGCGCAAGTTTCCCCAGCTCGAGTACCTTGGATATGCTGCTTGATGACATTCTCCAGGTGGTCCAGCCGCTCAATAATCTTCAGGGTATCTCCTTTGTCTTCTTCCAGCTTCTTGTCGGGCGCTGGCTCCTGCCCCCGCACATACACGCTGGCGATGTAGTTGGTGACCCAGCCCACGTAGAGCAGGCATATGATGTTGGTCATGCCGCTCAGGATCACACAAGTGGACACTAAAGTTTTGGTCTTCCTGGTGCACACCATCCTGGGCTCCCTCCTCCATATAGAGCTCCCGGGGCCCCTCCTCGCTGCGCGCCCTGGGCTCCCCCGCGCTCACACCCCCTAGCGTGCCCGGGGCGGCCGGGCGCCCGAGCACCTGAGTCCCCGGGTTCTCGAGCCGGGTCGGCGGGCTGTGGCGCCGCCTGGTCCAAGTTTGGAGCTCCCGCCGCTGGCCACCCGGAGAGAAAGCTTGACAAAGGAAACGAGCTGAATTTTTTTCCTGCAAATTGAAAATCCCCGAGCCCTTCTCTGAGCGGTCAGGGGTGGCCTGCAGCCGCGCGCCGAAATCCGCGCGCCTGGGAAACTTTGCTCCAGCCCCGGTCCGCGGCCGCGCCGCTTCCCATCGCCAGGCGCGGAGTCTCCGCGGTGCGCCCGGCCCGCGCTGGAAAGGACGGCGGCAGCCGCGCCGGGAGAGCCGCGGAGCAGAGCGGCGCGGCCCCCTCCGAGCGACAAGCGCCGCCGCCAATCGCGCTCCGGTTCGGGAGAGGGGCCGGTGCTGGGCGGCTGCGGACCAACGGGGAGGGCGCGGGGGCGGAGTCCGGCCCCCGGGCCCCACCTGCTGGCCGCCGCCGGCTCCGGCCCTCTGGGGACGCGCCTGAGCCGCCCCCCGCGTGGGCTGGGGCTGTCCCACCCCAGGTTCCTCGGCAAGGCGGCCTCTAGTCCCGGCCCCTAGGTCGACAGATTTCCATCTCCAAAGGAATTCCACCTCTTGCTTTTACGCAGGAGCGCTGGTCGTGGCGTGGGGGAAGGAGTAGGTCGCTCAGCCCAGACGCCCTCAGCCCCTCTGACCCCCGGGCTTCTGGAGCTGGGCCTACCAAGCTGCACCTTGGCCCCTGCTCTGTTGCCAGGGTGCAGAGAGGCCATGAAAGTGTGAGACATCTCTCCTGTTCCGTATCGCCCTCGGTCCAGGCCTTGTGGCCGCCCACTTACCTTGCCTCCTTTAGACCTCCAGCCTGTCTAGCGGCCGCCTGGAGGTGTCTAGATTTGGCACCTGTCAAAGGAGCCAACCCTCCTAGGAATCTCCTTGAAGGTTCTGGATCACCACCACCTTCAAAGATTTTTTGGCCCTATCTAGTTATATATAGCTATATAGATAGATATTTTTTTAAGTCTGTGCAGCTCCCAGGACAAAGCTGTGTCCTGTAGCCCCAGTTGTCACGCACCGGTGTGATGGATGTTAGGGAGAAGAGAACTGTGACTTACAACCGAGGGGCCTGGCTGGACTCCAGTGGTTGACACTATTTTGCTTATTATTGCAGCAAATATTTAATCATATTACCCTCCTCTGCTGAGCACTAGCTCCTTCCCAGCACCTGAATAGAATTCCTTGAAACAAAAATATTTTTAAAAATACAGATTCCCATCCTCTTCTCCATCTGTGGGTGCTTGTTCCTGGCCTGAAGAGTCAGGGAGGCACCCTGCTGCTGCATGCCCACCTCTGTGCCAGCACCACCCCCCCCAGCCCTGGCTCTCTTAAGTGATGTCTTCTGGATTCAAAGAACTGCCCCACAAAAGAGGGGAAGCACACAAACAAAGAAGGGGTCCTGCAACCCATACTTTGCTCACAAAACCCCACCAAAGATGCTGTGAAAATAGATGCCAATCCTGGAAGATTTCTTTTTACCTATAATTGGAAGAGAGAACAATAGGTGTGGGAGGGGGAAGAGGAGAGCAGGATAATGAGTATGTACATTTCCATACATATGAGAGAAATGAACATGCACTATTTCTGAAAAAAAAAAGTCAAGGTAAATCTGCGAGTAAAAATTGTCTCTCCCTTTCTTCACTGGAAGTATAATCAACTCACACATTAAGAGTCTCAGACTTTCTTCTGGATAGATGAATTTATAAGCAATGGTTTTGGCTACGACTAGTGGTAAAGTTCTAATTCTTCCTTCTGTTCTGCACCCTCTCCCAGGAAAAGCCTTGCTAGGTCTTTCTGAGCTACCACCGGGCTAGGCAGAGAGGAAGCAATACTCATTTTTCACATTCTTAATTCTGAAAAAAAATCCCAAGTTTAAAAATAAAGATCAGTGAAAAAATGAAGTGGATTGTGGGACCCTTACATTTTTGTCCAGCTGATCTCTAAGATAATTTGTAACTGTAGAGAGATAAACGCAACAAGAAAAAGTGCAGAACAGGCTCTCCTCACTTAAAGGTCTCTGGGTCCAGTTGATGAATTTAAAGAATATTCATTAGAGGTGCAGGCAGATTCCCAAACTCTAATCCTAGCTCCACCTCTTACTAATCATGTGAGCTTGGACATGTTTCAAAACCTTGTTGGGCCTCAGTTTCTCCCTATGTCAAATATGAACAACACCTGCTGAAGACTGTGAAGGTTAAATGGGAGAATGTACAAGAAAGGGCTTTAATTATTACAGGACACATGGTGGGTGCTTGGGATGATGTGACTCTTCCAGGATACACTGAATTCTCTCTTGCTGTTTAGCAATTCCTGTTTTCTTCACCAATAATAACCAGTGACAATTCTCTCTCCCCTAATGAAAGTTAACAGGTACTGAGGCAACAGGCAGCAAGATGCTCATCTGGCCTAGCTAGGCTCCAACAAACTGGCATTCAACTCCTAACATGTCTTCACCATCAATAGTGCAGTGATCTGCATATGTTTATAGGCTATTCAAATGTGGAAGGCTGGTTTCAGGAACTACTGTCCCCAGCACCTTCAAATTTCCACTCAAGACCCCCAATCGTTTGGCCATAAACAAGTGAATGAGACTTTACCCACAAACATTTTATAGTCTTTACCCACAAACATTTTATAGTCACAAGGTCAGAAAAGAGTTAGCTTCCATGTAAGTGCTCCTGTGAACATTATCTGGATAGAGATTGATATCTTTGGCTCTCAGTTCAATTACATTACAAGTAATCATCCAACAAGTAATTCAATAAGTAATCTAACAAGTAATCATCCTGCCCCCAATGTTTCAACCAGTTGCTCTGGCCCTGCTGAGACATGGTGTCTCATAGTCTGAATATGGGTCACTTTTCTGGGCCCGGAAAGCGGCTAAAAATCATCCTTGAACTGGAAAGATGTTTCTGGTTCTCCAGTTAGGCCATTTATGTAAATCCTACATGTTTCCTCACCTTTATTTTAAATAAAATCTTCCTCAAGCGATCACTATGAAGTTATTCAGATAATTCGGGTGAGCAAACCTAACAGAGATTCTAGTTCCCTGTATTTCTTTAAACTGTCCAAGCATTTGAACATGGGATCTTCCTTCTACTGCTTTACAAGAGGAAGATAAGTGACTTGAAGAATCTGCAAAAGGAACTGGAGATCCTTGATAGGATCTTTCCAGCACAACCTTTGGATTTCACCCATCTTTTAAATTGGTTAAACCACTGCCCTCTTGATGTGATTTAAGGGGGAGCTAAGCAGGACTTCTTACCCCTAAGTGGAGCCACAGTGTCATCCCACCATTAATTCAGAGTACCTTTAATATCAGAGTTGAAAAAAACCAGTCACTAAGAGACCAGTTCATTATATGCAGGCAACTTGGCCTGAGGACTAAAGAGAAACAGTGGTTTGGTCTTGACCAATGGAAGTTGACGCAACAGACAGGAATGGCAGTGGTCATCTTTTCCCACCAGGTGGCAGCACCATGCAAAGTCTTAGGGCCAGAGGTACCCATTAGGACTCATTAGGACCCATTAGGATGTGGGGACTAGAGGGCAGGCAAACAGCACAGTCTCAATCCCTGGTCTGTGTGGGAAGCAGGGTTGCTAGGTCCCTAGGAGAACAGGGATTTTCAGCAGGGATGAATGCAAGGGAGAGAGACAGAGGCTGTGGAGAAAGATTAGGTTCAAGATTAGATTCTGTCAAGACTGAGATGTCTCCTACATTGAGATGACTTTGAGGGAGGGAGGGTGAACAAAGAAGAGTCTCTGTTAGTACTTATACTGTGTCAGGTCTAGTGTTTCTCATATGTTGTCTCTTGGGCATAAACCAGGGAGCCAGAAAACTGGGTTGATATCCCAGCTCTGTCATTTACTAACTCAATGCTCTTCAGCAAGTTACTTGGCCCGTCTGTGCCTCAGTTTCTTCACCTATAAAATGGGGGTAATTATAGTATTACCTACTTCATTGGGGGAGAATTGTGAGAATTAGAAGGATTCATGTATATAAAGTACATTGAAGTTTATAAGTATTGACTATTGTTATTATAACTATCTCTGAGCACCTAAGTATCTGAAAGGTAAATGAGAGAAGACAAGCCACTCAGACAGAAATTTCCTCTAACTGGGAACAAAGGATTTTAGACACTAACTCCTGGATCTTTTTCTTTCATCTTGTTTAATCTTATTAGTAACTCCTAGCTGGACTGCAGATTCTGGCAGGAATCCTAGAGCTGGACCCACTTATTCATCCACTATCTGCTGAGTGCCTGCTGGGAGAGACCCACTGCTGGGTCTGGTAATGCAGCGGGAACTCACAAACCTGCATCTCGGCCCTCAAAGGACATCTCTGTTTAGTGGAAGAGGTCAACAAAGAACTGTGATACAGGCTGATAAACTTTAATGCTACAGTAATAGAAAGGGAAAGACACACACAGTTGATAGAGGCACCAAATTCCACCCCAACAAGAAGTCATGCAACTTCTACATAGCTGCACTTCTTTAAATCACTAGAGAGCTCTACTGGGTGAAAGTTTGTTCTTTAAACAGAGAGGAAAATATTTGCAAGATATTTAATAGACCATGGGTTGAGATCCAGAATATATAAAGAATGCATATAAATCAATGACATAGGAAGGCAAAAATATCCAAATGGAAAAATGGACCAAGAACATGAATAAACAATTAACTGCAGAGTAACAATAAATATCCAATAAATATGTGAAAGTATGCTTAAACTTGTGAAAAATCAAGAAATACATTTTTTAAACTATAGATACAATTATCTCACCTATCAGATTGACATAAGTAATGTGATAATTTTGAAGTATTAAAGAGAGAACATAAGGGAAATAACTACTCATATCCCACTGGTAAAGTATAATTGATACAATCACCTTGGAATGTAATTTAGCAGTAATGATAAAATTTAAAATGCACCTATCCTATGACCTTGTCCTCTAAGTGTGGTCCATGGACTGATAACATAGGCATCACTTGCGTATTTATTAAAAATGTAGATTATCCCACATTTACTGAATCAGAATCTACATTTTAACAAAACTCCCAGATAAGATTTTATTGTATATATTGTACATATTATGTACATATTATAATACATATTATGTATGTATATATTATTATGTAATATGTACAATAAAATCTGAGCAATACACATGAAACTGTTAACTACAGGCCTTCTTTGGGACTTTTCCAGAATTAAGGGTAG